ATATATATATATATATATATATATATATATATATATATATATATATATATATATACACACACACACATACACACACACACATACATACACATATATACACATACACACATATATACGTACATACATACATACCTATGCATATGTATTATAAAAAGTACATTCAAATTTAATAAATTGTGTGATATAATCTACAGATGGTGGTACAAAAGTGGGTGACTTGGAGGGATACTTTTGAGTCCTTGTCTGAAAGAAGTAACATTAAATAGACTAAAAGGAGCAGTACAGTAATAAATGGCCTAGAGTTTAGCCATTACCACATGGACAAAATTGGAAAAACATAGAAGTATATTTAAAACCTCCCAAAAGGACTGCTGCAGGTAACACACCCAGTCTGGGTAAAGTGAAATCTAGATTGTATGGAAACAGATTATCCCATCTTCTACATCTATATTTTTAAATACAAAGTCATTTTAAAAACTGGCAGAAATCACATCTTTCAGAAAACCTCTCAAAGAGATGGACACAAAAGCCAGCCAAGTCTGAAACGACGGATGAATGTAACTCTCCTGGGGATGTCTATTATAAAAACATAGCAAGGAGCTAATCAGAAAAGCCTGGAATGAACTCTGGGATTTCCCATTGCAATCTGGGACAATTCAACACAAGCTTCTAAATATTGAGTCATGGTGCTGCAGTGGCTGGAGTGCAGTACTGCAGGCTGACTCTACCCACAGCCAGGAGTTCAATCCTGATCAGCTCAAGGTTGACTCAGCCTTCAATCCTTCTGAGGTCAGTAAAATGAGAAGCCAGACTGTTGGGGGAGTCAGCAATATGCTGATTCTATAAACTGTGTATAGATGGTTTCAAATATATCTTATATATCTGATTAGCAGTCTGAGTTCAGCTGCTGTTGGGATAATCTGCATTCCTAATGACTTGTCATGCAGAAGAATTCACTGAAGAAGAAACTTTGATTAATGCCAAGGAAGATCTCTTCTTATTGAAATTATGTTTCCTACTCAACACACCACCCACAGGACCAAAATGGGGAGGGAGGAAAGGTTATTTCTTTTCTCCACTTACTCTGTAGTCCAACACAAAATCAGAATCCCCCATGCTTATTCTGAATTTACTATAACAACACTCCATCAATGTCACTGCAGATTTTCAAAGAAACTTTCATTTGACAATCCGTAACATGGTAATTGCCCTCTAAATCATATCTGAAACTTACAGTATATTTATTTTATTCCATCCTCCCCAAAAGCTCATTTGTATGTCATAAAATAGTTCTTACAGATTTTATTTTTATCTCTGATAAATTCCATTACAAGCCTGAGGTTAAAATTATATATTTCAAGAATGGAAGCATCCCATCCTATGACAAGTTTATTATTTTAAATTGTACTGAAGACAGGTATGGCATCAGATACAAAATACAATCTTAAAAGTAAGGCTTTTCAACTTTTTGATAATATCAGGGAGTGTATCTGGAATACAAAAAGGAGTGAAATCTCTATCTATTGTTCCTCAGGCACTCAGCAGTAGTGGAAAAATAACACAACATTACCAGTATATTATTTACATAAACTTTAAGCAATGAAACTTTTAACTACATATTCACAAATATAGGATAAGATATTCACAAACACTTAAAATTGTCAGCTTAAAAATGCCTACAGCAAGGATGTCAAACTGGCTGCCAGTGGGCTGGATGTGTCACGTGCAGACCACGCCCACTCCAGCTCTGCAAAGGCCAAAACGTCATGATACATAATGATACATCACGTGATGCAATCGAGTTTGACATCCATCTACTTTCTTTTTTAAAAAAAGATCAGTCTGTTTGAGAGAGATAGCTGTTAGAGAAAAACTTAACAGAAAGCAGAGGAATTGGAGGTTTTTTATTTTAAAAAATGCAGAATGGGTGAAAAAATATGAGCGTTGATATCAGAATGAGACATAAATCCAGGGGAAGATCAGAGGAAGAAGGAATGTTAGTGAAAAGAAGAAATAACTTACCAAGTTAATAAAGGAGAATATTTGTAGCTCAGGATTGAAATGTGGGGTCCTTGGTGCTCTCTGAGCTTGCTTGTTTTCTTGCAGACATTTCATTACCCAAACTAGGTAACATCATCAGTGGTAGGACACTAGCACGGATGATTTACCTAGTTTGGGAAATGAAAATTCTGCAAGAAAACAACCAAGCTCAGAGAGCACCAAGGACCCCTCAAAAACAACTTAGGAATTGGTCTAATAAAAGGCTCAGGAAATAGTGGCTGAATTTTACACACTAGTTCAGCAGTTCTGAGTTAATATAGTGGTAAGAGCATGTATGCAGGTTTTTGGTTCTCCAATGGTTATGGGTGCAAACAGCAAGAACATTTTCCATTATCAATAGTGCTCTTGTTGTTAATGATGCTTGGTCTTGAAAATGGTTATTGACATGGACTAAGCCTTCAGCAATAGAACAATCTCAAATATAGTTTGATATGGTTAGGGAATGGGATGGATAAACAAACAAACAAAAAACAAATAAAATGCTGTTTCTTCCCAAGCTGTTAGCTTCCTCCACAAAATATCATCAAAGATATATAATTCCTTATTTTTGGTTTCTTAATTAATAAGCACACTAATGTATAAGTAGCAATTAATACTTTAATTTCAGTGCATACATTCTCAATAAATGTTGATTTCACAACACAAATCCTATACATGGATTCTACAAGGATTTCAAAGACCCAGTAACTACCATGTTTCCCTGAAAATACGGCAGGGTCTTATTTTCTTTTTACCTACAAAATATGGCTTGGGCTTTATTATAGGGGGGGGTATTGTTTTTGGGTTGCGGGGTGGCTGCTCTTTTGCGAGCGGGCTCCCAAAGAGCCGGGCACAGCCTCATGGGTGAATGACTGTGTCACGCTGTCACAGCAGTATAACAGAACAGCCATGAAGTGACCACACTAACAAGGAGCCACCTGGAAAACCCCCTTTGCAGTGCCATTGACTGACCTAGGGGTATCGCCAAGCCGTGTGAGCGCCTGTTTGCCGCCCCGCTTGGCTCCCGTGGCTTGGTGCCTTCCAAATGCCAGTGAATGGTGCTCTGAATGGCTGGAGAGGGTGGTTGCACGAGCGGCTGTTCCACTCTCGTTCACCCACCTCCCAGCCTCATGATGCATGGCCCAGCTCTCATTATGGAGCCAGGGCACCTCCACCGCCGCCATCCCAGCCTGGCTTTTTCCATGGCTTCCAACCCAAGTCTTTCAGCAGTGGCTGCTCTGGGCGCATGTCTATGGTTGTATGCAGGCAGCTGGCCCACAACCATAGAGCAGGGTCCGTAATGGTCCATAATGAGAGCTGGGCCATGCATTGGGAAGTGGGTGAGCGAGAGTGGAACAGCCACTCATGCAACCCCCCCCCCCTCCAGCCATGCAGAGCACCATTCACTGGCATTTGAAAGGCGCCAAGCTGCAGGAGCCAGGCAGCGGTGAACAGGTGCTCACGCGGCTTGGCGATACCCCTAGGTCAGTCAATGGCACTGTGCCCGGCTGCAAAGAGGGTTTGTCAGGTGGCTGCTCATGAGTGTGGTCGCTTCATGGCTGTTGTGTTGCACTGCTGCAACAGCGCAACACAGCCATTCGCCCATGAGGCTGTGCCCGGCTCTTTGGGAGCCCACTCACAAGAGAGCAACTGCCCAGCAACCCCCCTCTTCAGCTGGGCGCAGTGCTGCTGACCAATCTAGTGGTATCCCGAAGGCACCAAGCAACGCGATCACTTCCCCCAGGTTCCCATGGCTTGGCACTGTTGAGATACTGCTAGGTTGGTGAGTGGCACTCTGCCTGGCCGGAGGTGGGGGGTTGTCCAGGGGGCTTATATGTGGGGGGTGGATTATATTTTTGCCCACCAGAAAAATGTGGCATGGCTGTATTATGAGGACATGTCATATTTTCGGGGAAACATGGTATCAAACTTTGACCCAGGCAAAAGATCTTAAATTTCTACTTTCTGGAATCTAGTTCTTGTCACATTTCATGATTTGAGAACTAGATTCTCAGAGATACTCAGCTTTTCTACTTTATAATTCAATTTCCATTGAGACTATAAGGAGGCAAATTCTGATGATATAAAGAATTTATGGGGGAAATAATCTTGTGGGGTAACAATTGTAACAATTATTGAAAATATTAAAATAAAAAAGTGAAACCTAAGAACTATTTCTAATCTCATAAATAGGAATTGTGTGTTTTAAATTCCAGAGATATATTTAACATTAACAGGTTTTTTGTTTTGTTTTGTTTTATATGTGTGAAAACTAGCAGCTTCTACATGGATCCATGGCTAACAGTAGTTAGTTTTCTAAAAGTATTTATTGCAATACATGAACAGGAATACTTAATTCATCTCTGCTCGCAGCCTTTCATTTTATAACAGAGTATTTAAATACACAGGGAAGGAATGGAGGCTGCTGATAAGCTCTGCAAAGAAAACCCCAGTAAAGCAATTATGGGGAGAACTCCTTTTCTGTCTTTACTGTTTGATCACCTGTTAAAAAGTGCATGAGGATGAATGAAAGAGGGCAGAATGCATGTACATATCTCTAATGAACTGAAAACAAAACAAAAAATAAATAAATAGGTATTATCAAGAAAGCAGTTTTTTGTATTGATCTATATTTACAATGCCCCAAAAGTTAAAGCTAATAGAACATGGTTAATTGCACATATATTTAGGTTTCCAGTTTCTTGCTTCAACAAGTATGCTAAAACTTTTAATAATATTTATGTATTTGACTTTGTTAGTATTTCACATAAAAAGACTTCTTACCTAGGATATTCAGTTCCCCAGAAGAACGGCTTCTGGAGTTCTCCTGCTGGAAACCCTATAGTGATTTTAGAAGAGGAAGAGAAGAAGAAAGAATTAATTTCATTTCATTTTATTATATTTATATGCCGCCCTTTTCCCCCAAAGGGGACTCAGGGCGGCTAACAAATCAAATCAGGGAAGAAGTCTTTTTATGTGAAATACTAACAAAGTCAAATACATAAATATTAT